TCCTCCCATCCCTCCCACCCCCACCACCCCACCTCCCCCCCTTCTTACCACCACTCCACCTCCCCACCTACTCCTTAACCACCCCCCACCTCCCCACCTCCCTTCTCCCCCTACCATCCCCCTCCCCCTCCTCCTCTTACCACCTCCCCACCTCCCTTCCCTCCCCTACCATCCCCCACCACCCCAACCCCACCTCCCTCCCTCCTTACCACCACCCACCCCACCTCCCCCCCTCCTTACCCCCCCCCACCCCACCCCACCAAACCACCCTCCCTACCACCCCTCCCCACCCCACCCACCCTCTCTTCCGGAGCCACTGGGATGAGGGTCACGTAAACAATAGACGCAGAAAATAACAGCCCACTTGGCCATAACGCTTAAGATTGAGGGCGTTGCTGGCCGAGCCTTTGGTGCTCAAAGGGTTCCGCCTCGGCTTGACGAAGCCTATAGAAGAATTATCTTTATTATTGATAATTCATAAATAATAATAATAATAATGGTAATAATAATGATAATAATTAGAATAGGAGTATCAAGCTTTGAATTGATTATTGAAGGGATGGATGCCCTACATATAGGTATCCAACTATTATCAATAATAATAATAAGGTAATAATGATAATTAATTGAATGGTAGTAACAATTTTGATTGATTATTGAAGGGACGAAGGCCCTATAGAAGAATTATTTTTATTATCAATAATAATAATAATGGTAATAATGATAATAATTAGAATGGTTGTAACAAGTTTGCATTATTATCATCAATAATAATAATGGCAATAATAATAATAATTAGAATGGTTGTAAACAAGCTTGGATTTATTATTATAGGGACAAAAGCCTATAGAATCATTTTTTATCAATAATAATAATAATGGTAATAATGATAATAATTAGAATAGTAACAAGACATTAATCATTGGAGGGACAGAGCCTATAGGAGAATTATCATAAATAATAATAATAATAATGGTAATAATAATAATAATAATTGGAATGGTAGTAACAAGTTTGATTGATTATTGAAGGGACGAAAGCCTTATAGAAGAATTATTTTTTATTATCAATAATAATAATAATGGTAATAATAATAATGATAATTAGAATGGTTATAATAATGGCAATAATGATAATAATGATAATAATTAGAATAGGAGTAACAAGCTTGATTGATTATTGAAGGGACGAAGCCTTATAGAAGAATTATCATCAATAATAATAATAATGGTAATAATAATAATAATTAGAATGGTAGTAACAAGTTTGATTTGGTTATTGAAGGGATGATGCCTATATAGGTATCACTATTATCAATAATAATAATGATAATGGCAATAATGATAATTAGAATGGTTGTAACAAGCTTGATTGATTATTGAAGGGACGAAGCCTATAGAAGAATTATTTTTATTATCAATAGTAATAATAATAATTGATAATGGTAATAATAATAATAATTGGAATGGTAGTAACAAACTCGACTGATTATTGTAAGGACAAAGTATCATTATTATCAATAATGATAATGATAATAATGATAAATGGCAATAATGATAATCAGAATGCGTAGTAAACAAGTTTTATTGATTATTGAAGGGACGAAGCCTATAGAAAGTATCATTATTATCAATAATGGTAATGAGAAGAGCAATAATGATAATTAGAATAGGAGTAACAAGCTTGAATTGATTATTGAAGAGATGATGCCTATAGAGGTATCATTATTATCATCAATAATAATAATAATGGTAATAATAATAAAAAACTAGAATGGTAGTAACAGCTTCATTATTACATCAATAATAATAATGGTAATAATAATTGATAATTAGAATAGGAGTAACAAGTTGATTGAATTATTGAGGGCGATGATGGCCTATAGAAGAATTATTTTTATATCAATAATAATAATAATTAATAATGTTAATAATGATTAATAATTGGAAGGTAGTAACAAACTCGGTTGTTATTGTAAGGACAAAGACGATGCCTATAGAAGTATCATTATTATCGAGGAATGATAATTGATAAATAGCAATAATGATAATTAGAATGGTGAGTACAAGCTATTGATTATTGTAGGGACGAAGCATATAGAACATTTATCATGAAATAATAATAATAATAATGGTAATAATGATGATATAAGATTAGAATGGTAGTACAAGTTTGATTGTTATTGAAGGGATGAATGGCCTATATAAGTATCATTATATCAATAATGATAGATGAGAATAGCGCAATAATGATAATTAGAATGGTAGTGAACAGGCTTGTTTCATTACTGTAGGGACAAAGCCTATAAAGTAAATCATTATTAATAATAATGATAATAACAATACCAATTTAACATCCCTAATGATAATAACCGACATAAAAATAGTATTAGGAATAGCAGCTAATAATAATAATAATAATAATAATAATAATAATAATAATAATAATAATAATAATAATAATAATAATAATAATAATAACAATAATGATAATAATAATAACAATAATAATAATAATAATAATAATATCTGCATAATAATAATAATAATAATAACAATAATAATAATAATAATAACATAATAATAATAATAACAAATAACAACAATAATAAATAATAATCCTCTCTCCTTCAAATACAAACAAAGGATAATGAAGATTAATTGACACCATAATTAACAATCCCGAAGGTACAATCAGAGTCATCGTTGATCAAAGTACCAATCGAGGAGGTACCAACGCTACTTTAGGTACCTGAGTGATTGGTATGCAATGGATTCAGCATAATCCTTTTGACTCAGCAAATCCAATCACTCGTGTTTTCAGAATGATTCGTCTGTCGGTTCAGAATGATTCGAAAATAATTGTCGAACGAAGAAGCAGAATGATAAGAATTAGAATAAGAAAAAGAAGAAGAAAGAAAGAAAAGAAGAAGAAGATGAAGAACAAGAAAATGATAAAGAAGAAGGGGAAAGAAGAACAAAAAGAAGAATGAGTGGTCTGTCGGTTCAGAATGATTGGATGGTTGAGTCGAAAATAATTGTCAAACGAAGAAGCAGAATAATAAGAATAAGAATAAGAAAAAGAAGAGGAAAGAAAGGAAAGAAGAAGAAGAAGAAAATGACAAAGAAGAAGGAGAAGAAGAACAAGAAAAAGAATGATTCGTCTGTCGGTTCAGAATGATTCGAAAATAATTGTCGAACGAAGAAGCAGAATAATAAGAATTAGAATAAGAAAAAGAAGATGAAGAAGAAGAAAAATGATGAATGATGAAGAAGGAGAAGAAGAGAAGAAGACAAAAATAAAATAAGAATGATTGGTCTGTCGGTTAGATTGATTGGATGGTTGAATCGAATATAATTGTCGAACGAAGAAAGAGAATAATAAGAATAAGAATAAGAAAAAGAAGATGAAGAAGAAGAAAATGATGATGATAAAGAAGAAGAAGAAGAAGAAGTAGAAGAAGAACAAGAATAAGAATGAACTGGTTGGATGGTTGAATCGAAAATAATTGTCGAACGAAGAAGAAGCAGAAAATAATAATAATAATAATATGAAGAAAAGAAGAAGAAGGAAAGAAAAGAAGAATAAGATGAAGAAGAAAAAGAAGAAAATGATGAAGAAGAAGGAGAAGAAGAAGTAGAACAAGAACAAGAATGAGCTGGTTTGCCGGTTAGAATGATTGCATAGTTGAATCGAAAATAATTCGAAGAAACAGGATAATAAGATAATAAGAAAAAGAGGAAAGAAAGAAAAGAAGAAGAAGAAAATAATGAAGAAGAAGAAGGAGAAGAAGTAGAAGAACAAGAACAAGAATGAACTGGTTTGTTGGTTCAGAATGATTCGAAGAAGCAGAATAATAAGAAAAAGAAAAGAATAAGATGAAGAAGGAGGAGGAGGAGAAGAAGGGAAGAGAAGAAGCAGAAGAAGAAGAAGCAGAGAAGAAAAAAGATGAAGAGAAGAAGCAGAATAATAAGAAAAAGAAAAGAATAAGATGAAGAAGGAGGAGGAGAAGAAGAAGAAGGTGAAGAAGTAGGAGAAGAAGCAGAAGAAGAAGAAGAAGCAGAAGAAAGAAAAAGATGAAGAAGAAGAAGAAGCAGAATAATAAGAAAAAGAAAAGAATAAGATGAAGAAGGAGGAGGAGGAGAAGAAGAAGAAGGAGAAGAAGAGAAGCAGAAGAAGAAGAAGAAGCAGAAGAAGAAAAAGATGAAGAAGAAGAAGCAGAATAATAAAAATAAGAAGTAGAAAAAGAACAAGAAAAACAAGAACAAGTAGAAGAAGAAGAAAGAGAAAATGGAGGTTGTGTAAAGCTTCATTCATCTAATAATGAAATTCGGGAAAGTCATGTTGTCTGAAAAAAAATCAAAAAAAAAAAAAATACCAATACAGTAATGACGGTAGTTAGGGCATAATTACAGTAACGTGCTTGTTATTAAATGGTTCTGGTTAGGATGATAATGATAGTTATAATGATGGCAATGATACTATTAGCTGTAGTAGTAGTAGTAAAAATTATGATAGTAATACCAATAGTCATGATAATAATAATAATAATAACAAAGGTGATGATGATAGTAACAAAAATAGTATTAAAATGGTATAGTAATAGTAGTAGTAATAGTAGTAGTAATAATAGTAATAGTAGTTGTAGTAATAGTAGTAGTAGTAGTAATAGTAGTAGTAGTAATAGTAGTTAGTAGTAATAGTAGTAGTAGTAATAATAGCAGTAATAGTAGTAGTAGTAGGAGTAGTAATGGCAGTAACAGTAGTATTACATATTAATAAAAACACCAAAAATAATACCTCTAAAAATAAACAAAATATAACCACATAAACATAATAACAAAAATAGAATAAAAACAGCAACAAACAATGATACCTCATCACTCCCTCCCCTCCCCTCAAAAAAAAAGTAAATGAATGCATTAAAGATAAAAATAAATAAATAACTAACAAAACAACAACAACAACAACAACAATAGATTCTTCTTCACTCTACTTAC